CCGGCTGGCATTGGCTCTGTCAGACACAGGGGAAGCTTCTGGCATTTTCTCACAGAAGCCACCCCTGTAGCTTCCCCACTACCAAAACCTTGCCATACCAACCCAATACAAGAACTTTTTTTCTTTTTTTTTCCCCAGGTTGCCTTCCCCCTTTGCTAATTTTAATTTATTAATTGAGATGATTGGTGTGCATGACAAATTATGGTGAATAAAGGTTGCCAATCTCAAAAATGTTGGCATTTGGGGAGATGGAAATTTTAAACAAATTTAAAAGAATCAAGGACAGGTCATTTATACAAAGCAAAATAAGTCTTTCTGAACAGCACTTTGATTGTAGTTTATTTTAATGTTGAGTGGTCAGTCAGATTAAATTATTATAAACAGTTGAACCTGATACAGATTTTATTATATAGAAGCAATATGTTGTTTGCCTTGTTTGCAAGCTTTACAGAATTCATGAAATACAGATACAGAAGTTATGAAAACTTAAGCGTAATATTTGTGGAGGATGCAGAAAACTTTTGTAGGGTATTTTGTTACAATTTTGCAGATAACAAAGCCTCACATGACTATACAAAGAAATTCATGTCCCTTGTATCTTGAAGAGTAACTGGATTGAGGGGGTGTACCTTCACTGCCTTCAAACCTCTGTGCTAACAGCATAGAGGGATATAGAAGCAGCGGTTGAAATAGATGATGGTGGGAGGTGCTAAGGAGTAGGGCTATATGCTCAGTGCTGTTAGGATTGAACTTCTGCACTTGCTGAATAATGCAAGTTTTTCCTACTACACATGCATTAACCTGGCTTAGTTAACAAGAAAAAAGAGTTATTAGTAGAGATGTAGGTCTTGCATAGTTAATGTGGACTGGTACTAATTGTTCTATAAAGATAGATATTTGTAGATACAGAACTCTGGTCAGAAACTGGCAGGGGGAAACTCAATTAAGAATCTTATCTGCTCTCAGTTAAATTGCCTTCTGTAAGTTTGAGAGCATTGCTGTTATTACATGTTTCCTAAGCAAATATAGACAGACTTCTTCACACCTTACTCCTTCACTGCTGTCTTATAGACAGTGTACATTGCTGAGTATATAAAATACTTTTGGTGGGTGCACTCAGTTGGGAGAAATTTAACTTTCTGGCCACTGAATCTGTGGAAACAACTGTGTTTCGACACCTGCCTGCAGTTCCAATTTGTAGTGCAGAATCAGTAGCGTGTACCAGACTGTTTACCAGAAGTTACTTGCCTGTGGATAATCTACAGTTGAAGTCAAGGATCATCATCATAATTGTTTTACTAGGTAGAACATAGTTGACCTATAGGCTGCAACAAAATTTCACATTTCATTGTGATCTTTGGTGTACAAGATTGTTGCTGTTTTGTGGTTTGTCAAATCCTTCTGATAGATCTGTTGATATTCTCCTACATTGCAAAATATCAAGCTCTCTCTAAAAGAAAAAAATTATTCTCTTACAAGGGCATGTTTCTTTGTCATCTCATCTAGCACTGTTTAATCCTAAGAATAAAAATTTTTGATGCCTTAAAATTGGGTTCACCGAAGTTGAGGGTAGCATGGGAGTTTATTCTTCCTTCTGTGGATCTTCCCCCTCCCCCACCTCCCCAAAAGATAAGTTTCTACTTGTAGACCAAACCTACCTAGCTGTTTAGAATTGCCTCTGTAACAAAACAGTGTAGCTAGGTGAGCTTCCAAATCAACGAGGATGCAGATGTATAAACACTGCAGTATGTTGAGAAACGGAGAAGACGGGCAACCTGAAAACAGGTCAGCTGAAATATGACACTGGATTGTCTCTTGATCCTAGTGGAAAAGAGGAAGTCTAGTGCTGAACTTGTTTTACTATTTGACCACTGTAAAACTGCATTTTTATTCTGAAGACTCCACTGCTCTTCACCTGAGGAACACTTTTCTAGTCAAGTGTTTTTTCTAGCCAGTGCCATCTGCTTATAATGTCTGTGTCTGATAGGCTTTTGAGCATCTGCTTTAAATTCCATAAAATGGACCCTAGGAGTACAGCATTAAAGATTTGGACTCAACGATTCAGGAGATGGTTTATGTTCTTGCGTGTACCGTAATGAAACTTCCATCAAATGATTGTGTCATCTACAATCAGTGAGCAGATTTAAGGAGCTACAGTTTTTTTGACATAGATAGCCCTTCTTATGTAGGGTCTTAAAGGGGTTTCTTACCCTTCCAAGCTTAAACTTAAGGTAGTAAGATATACCATAAGGTGTACTGTTTTCAGGTAGTATAGCAGCATGGAGTGTTGTTCCTCTTGCAGTAAAGTCCTGAAAACATGTAATTCTGAAAATGTGTTTTGACCAAGCGGTGTCCATTCTTCTTTTCCTCCTCTTCCATTCACAATTGAGAAAAGCTTTTTTATATAGTTTAGGCACAAATATCTCTTGGGAGGGCTGAAATCCTTTGAAAGTTCTGCACATCTTTAGCTAAGTGCATAATTACAGGCATTGCTTACTTACAGGTTACTGAAATACAGAGGTCTAGTGAAAGTCAGGTTTTCTTAAAGTGTTAAAGGAATTTACTGTATAGAAACCATGGCACAACAGTTTCTAGGGACTTTGCCTTTACTTTGTATCTGAAGAAAAGAGGTGTAATTTTATGTGTGTCGTTTTGCTTTAACCTTGAAATATAATACCTTAGAACAGAGCTAAATTTTAAGCTTATTCTATCAGCAAAGTGAACGTGTAATTGCTTTACTTCTGTAACTTTATAATGGTGGCTACTGATTGTACTCCACATCATAGAATTAGAGCAGCTTTCTTCAAATACTTTTTTGGCTTTATGAAAAGATGCTATGAAGAAAGAATTTGGATTTGATAGCCTAAGTTGTTTTATTTGTGATTAATTGTATGTATTTACAAGCAAGGTAATTAAATAACTAACTAGGAAAAAGTGGTAGCAGGTAGAGCAAATTTAGCTGTTACAGAGAGAGCTTGCAGGTTCTCATTTAGTATTTATTAGTTTTTTATGCTCCAAAGCTTAGAATAATCCAGGCATATGCTGTAAACCAGGGGTTTCTTTAGTTCCTGCCAAATCCAACAGCTTTCCTTTTTTCTGCAGCCCCACATTCATGTATCTACTCCTCCTCCCTCTGGTCCTTTGAGTATCTCTTTCTCATGAACCCTTAACAATCATTGATTGTCATGTTCTTTTTTTTTTGTGTGTGTGTGTGGTTGTGGGGGGTTTTTTATTTTATTTTTTTGTCTCCAGACAGCATAACACAAAAAAATTCACTAGTCATGACTCTTTCAGCCTAACCTACTTTCTCCCCAAAATTCCTACCTTCTTGAAGTGGAAGTTCTTAGTCACCACACTGCTTACCATCTTTTTCTTTTCTAGAATGCATCTCCATTTAAGCTCCCTAGATAGTGACTTTTCTGGTATTTGTGGTGTATCGTGGATTTTTCTTTGTTTTCCAAAATTCTGTTCTGTTCTGTCTCTCTCCTTGGTTTACTTCAGGGTTATGTCTGTTACTGCCTCTGATGATCTGTCCAGCTCCTTCCTTTTTTTTTTTCCTGAAGTTTTCAGTGGTTATTTGCTCCTTAGCTTGAGGACTTCTGCCTAAGTAGTGCTCAAACTATGGACAGAAGGGGCTAAAGAATTACTTTTTCCACTATGATCTCAGATGGACTTAGAGGCAAGATAATTGCAGACAAATTGGTCGTTTCTTCTGCTACTTGAATTGTGTATTATTTAAGAACCACTAAATGTGTGTGCTTGTTCACTGGGGACTAAATGATCCCTACATCTCCTAGTCATAGTGTCTAGTAACAGGATTACTTAAGTAGTTGCTCTGATACTACCTTCTGAATGAGGTTTTTCTCCTAAAACTCATGTACAATTAAATAAATTGTTAGAACAGGATAAAATACTGGAATAGAAGACAAAAGTCTTTAATTATTTTACTTTCAACTCCTCCAAGGAATATGAAAATGTTCGTCAGCAGCATGAGGAAGTGAAACAAAGCCGAGACCAAGCCAAGGAAGAACTGAAGAATCTGAAAGAAATGCAGTCCCCAGTGACAAAAAAAATCCAAGAAACTGAAGAACATTTTAAGAGTCTGGATATGAAAATCAGAGATAAGGTAGGTATTTTAAGTTCTCCGTTAACGTATGTAATATTTCAGGTGTTCTAGTGTGCCATATTGATGTCTTTCTGAAGAAATTTTTCTGAAGTAATTGTGCTGTTGGTTATCACTGCCTTCTCCATGTCTCTGTTCCATTAAAAGCACTAAAACTCAAGGAATACATTTCTTAGTAAAGCTTCAGTAGCAACTATGAAAGTCTGTTCTTTTGGTATTATAAAAGCACACAGATTTTATAATTATTTTTATAGAACCTTCAAAATCTTCAGGGCTAGAATGTTACAATTTCCTTAAGTTAGATACTTATCTTGAATTAGTTGCCTATTTTCATCTGTTCTGTAATCTGGGTTTGTGGATGCTCTTGTTATCTTTTTAAAATGTAGCTGATTTGGGTGCTTAATTTAAGCTAAATTACAATATTTCTGGCCTAAAAGCATTCCTCTAATATTTAACCTAATTCCATAAGTAGGGTATAATTTTTTTATTAGACACTAATCCTCCATCAGTTGTGAATACTTTTATGCATAAGAGAATTTAATGGTAAACCTACCTATGCCTTACAGCTTACTATCTGTTTTTTGAATAGCTGCTTTCTCTGGGGATATGGAAAATTACTATTTCTGGATGACAAATAGGAAACTACTGTAATTCTTTGTAGGATTTTAACTATCACGTACTATTCTGGCTGCAGAAGTCATTGTATGCATAGACTGCACGTTCTTAATGGATAACCAAAGTTAAATGATAACATGAGGATGTTTGCTGCAGTGAGTTCTGTTTGAAGATAACTGATTCACAGATTCACAGATTGGTAAGGGTTG